AATGAAGTAGCTAGATCATGGATTTAACATCAACTTACCTTAGATGATGTGTTTGTGGGAAAAATCTCCTTGAAAGCTTCCTAATTCTCGAAAACTTGGTGAAGAGTGGAGAGAGTTTCCTTGAGAGAGTTTGAGTGATTTTGTGTGTGTGTTTGTGGTGTGTTCGGCCGAGAGAAGAAAAGAGAGGAGAGAAGAGACCTTGGATGGGATAGTTGCATGGAAATATGGGAGTATGCATGGATATCCAAGAGATAATGGTGAGGTGGCTACCAAAAGTCAACTCTTCCTTTCTTTTGTGGGCTTGGGCCGAGAATGGAGAGGGGAAAAGAAAAATGATTGGGCCTTGTATGCTTAAGCCCATATCATGACTTATTAGATGATTTTTGGTCCAAAATAAATCAAGGTATAATTTTTATGATTCATTAGGGCTAAATTAAATTGGTTGTGACCCATTAAGGCCCATTAAAGTTAACCTAGTTTATTTTGGGTTCATAAGGCCCAAAAATATTAAGTTTCATGTATATAGGTCCAATTAGAGCCCATTTGAGAGTTCTAGGTTCAAGATAGACAAATTGGAAACTTATTAGTCCATTAGGCCCAATAAGGGAATCCTAATCCAAAATGGACTTAAACCGGGATTTCAAGGGTTTCAAATTCTTTGTTGACCATTTGTAGTGCTAGAATGAAGTATTTGATGAAGTTTTGTTGTTATAGAATAAGCATCATGTATGCTTTCATGTTATTGATTCATAGTTGTTATAAGTGTTGTATTTACAAGGCACCAAAATTCCTAGTTGTGACATCATCCCCCCATTAGAGGGAATTTCGTCCCGAAATTCTTTTGAAAGCTAGATTTGATAATGCGAGAGTAGATGAGGGTACTTCTGCTTCATTTGATCTTCGCGTTCCCATGTGAATTCTGGTCCGCGTCTCGCGTTCCATCGAACTTTCACAATTGGAATGCGGCTCTGCTTGGTACGCTTCACCTCTCTGTCCATGATTTCAACTGGCTCCTCGATGAACAGAAGGTTCTCATTGATTTCTATTTCCTCTAATGGAATGACGAGAGTCTCGTCGGATAAGCACTTCTTCAAGTTGGAAACGTGGAACACAGGGTGTACACTGTTGAGCTCAGCGGGTAGCTGTAGTCTATAAGCCACTGGACCGATTCGGGCAAGAATCTCGAAGGGTCCAATGTATCGAGGGTTCAGTTTGCCCCGCTTCCCAAAACGAATCACTCCTTTCCAAGGAGAGACTTTTAGTAACACCCTATCTCCGACTCTGAATTCCAAGGGCTTTCGTCGTTTATCAGCGTAGCTCTTTTGTTTGTCTCGTGACGATTGCAGTCTCGCCCTGATCTGAATTATCTTCTCGGTCGTCTCGCGTATGATTTTCGGTCCCGTCAAGGCATTGTTTGGCGCTTGCCCTCTCGCTAGCTGGGTGTCTCCTACCTCAGCCCAACGCAACGGTGATCTACATTTACGCCCGTATAATGCTTCGTAAGGAGCAACTTTGATACTCGAGTGATAACTGTTGTTATATGAGAACTCGATCAAAGGCAAGTGGGTATCCCACGATTTTCCAAAGTCTATCACACACGCGCGAAGCATATCCTCTAGCGTTTGAATGGTTCGCTCGCTTTGACCATCCGTCTGTGGGTGGTAGGCAGTACTCATGTCAAGTTGTGTTCCTATAGCTTTCTGAAGCGATTGCCAAAAGCGTGAAGTAAATCTACTATCTCTATCTGAGATGATAGATATCGGTACTCCGTGGAGTCTCACGATTTCTTTGATGTAGATTCTTGTCAGGCGCTCCATCTTGTATGATTCTTTTATTGGTAGGAAATGGGAGGATTTCGTTAATCTATCAACTATTACCCAGATTGTGTCCAAACCATCCGTCGACTTGGGTAGTTTGGTCACAAAATCCATGGTAATCCTTTCCCATTTCCACTCTGGAATTACAGGTTGCTGTAGTAATCCGGAGGGCTTCTGATATTCCACCTTTACCTTAGCACAAGTGAGGCACTTGCTAACGTAAGTGGCAATCTCTGCTTTCATATTAGGCCACCAATAATGTTGCTTCACATCCAAGTACATTTTGTCTGAACCTGGATGGATGGAGTATCGCGTCTTGTGGGCTTCGTTCATGACCACCTCTCTGAATCCCCCAAGTTTAGGGACCCAAATGCGGTTCATGAAGTAATTTGTTCCGTCTTCTCTCACTTCAAAGTTCTTCTCCATTCCACGCAGCGCTTCTCTTGTTTTGTTTTCTGCCTTCATAGCATCGAACTGGGCTGCCCTGATTTGAGAGGTTAGGTGGGATCGAATGGTTATGGAGAGAGTCTTCAAACGACGATTCGAGTATTCTTTCTGACTCAAGGCATCGGCTACCACGTTAGCCTTGCCTGGGTGGTACTTGATCTCGTACTCGTAGTCGTTCAGCAGTTCGACCCATCTTCGTTGCCTCATGTTTAGCTCTTTTTGATTCAAGATGTGCTGGAGACTCTTGTGGTCGGTGAAGATGGTGCACTTGGTACCGTAGAGGTAGTGCCTCCAAATCTTCAGAGCGAAGACCACTGCTCCCAGTTCCAGGTCATGAGTGGTGTAATTTACCTCGTGCGTCTTTAGTTTCCGGGACGCGTAAGCTATCACCTTTCCCCGCTGCATGAGAACGCAGCCTAAACCCTGATTTGACGCATCGCAGTAAACTATAAAGTCTTTTGTTCCTTCGGGTAGCGATAGCACCGGCGCACTGCAGAGTGCCTGCTTCAGGGGTCGGAATGCAGCTTCTTGCTTGTCCGTCCATTCGAAGGGTACGCCCTTTTGCGTAAGCGAGGTAAGTAGTTTTGCGGTTTTGGAGAAGTTTTGAATGAATCTCCTGTAGTAGCCTGCGGGGCCTAGAAATTGGCGAATTTCCGTGGGTGTTGTTGGAATTGCCCATCCTTCGATGGCTTGGATCTTAGAAGGATCCACATGAATTCCTTCCTGACTAACAACGTGTCCCAAAAAGTTCACACTTCGGAGCCAAAACTCGCACTTAGAGAGTTTTGCGTACAACTTTTCGGTTCGCAGGGTTTCCAGGATTTGTCGGAGATGTCGGCCGTGTTCTTCCTTGCTTCGAGAATAGACGAGGATGTCGTCGATGAAAACGATGACGAAGTTATCGAGAAATGGTCGGCAGATTCGATTCATTAGGTCCATGAATGCGGCAGGAGCATTCATTAGACCGAAGGGCATTACGACAAATTCATAATGTTCCGGATATGTGTAACATCATCGATTATCTGTTGTGTGTGATGTTTATAGGAGACCTCCTCTATTGGCACCACCGACGCACCACCGTCAACGACTCACTCGCCCAGTAATCTTTCACCTTTACCACACCTTCTCATTGGGGATTGTGGTGTATGATATTTGTTCTAAAACGCCAATTCAAGACTAATAGTACAAGGGCTTGGATTATAAGATTGCACCCTGCGTTACGATTTTGGCTTCGACAAAACAGAAGGAACACAGTTCATGTGTGTATTAGACATATTTCAAAGGTAAGTCTTATTTCTTTAACCATCATTACCCGTTTTATATATAGGTGGTCCTTCAATTTGAATTGTTTTATCCGCCACAAAATTAGTTGTTTTTTATGCACACTAGGTGTTTGATTAATTGCTTGAGCCAAAATACATATTATTACGCTCCTGTACTAGGTACGGTAGGGTTCATCGTGTTATTTTTGAAAAATAAATAATAATTATGTTTTGAAGATGCTGTATATATTGTTTTTGTCAAATTGATGCCTTCAAGGCTATATTAGTCATTGATTTTTTTTACAATTTTATGTGTATTCCGTATGTATTTTTTTATTTGTTTCTGTACAAATGGATTTGTAAAAATAAGTTTTTAAAAATTCCAAAAAAGAAATTCTCCAAAATTCAAAAAATTTAAAGAATACAAGTGGATTTGTAAAAATAAGTTTCTATTTCGTAAGAAAATATTTGGATTTTTTTCCGAAAATGACGTAATACTTGGAGTAAATTACTAAAAATGGGCCCTAATCTTTCTTATTTTTACCGTGTTCAGTCTAAAATTGAAACATTTTCCGGTTTTGGTCCATGGAATCTTGAAATAAGGAGCAAAACTGAAAAAAAAAAGGTTTGAATCTTGAACTAAACATGTCAGAAAGCATAAGGACTGTTTCTATAGTTTATTCTGATGGATTATGTTTCTTTTTAGACAAAACTTTCTCGATTGGATATCGCGGGTAGAATAATTTGTTAAATGACCAAAATACCATTTAATAAGTATAGGGTTTGTAAGGACAATTTGATTTGGGAGAATGGAATTCAATTCCGTCTTCCATTCCTAGAAATGATGAAATCCCTTCATATATGGATTTTGGCGGATTCTATCAGAATTGACTCAATTCAATTGCGTCAATTGGGCAACCAAGTAATTGGAATACAGGATTCTATTCCATTGTGTTTTTCTCTATTAGATTTATATGGATCTCTGTTGATACGGATGTGTTTTAGCTCATGGATTACAGCTTAGTCCAACGTAATCTAATTGAATGTGTTTTAGCTCATGGATTACCACTTTGGAATATAGGATTCTATTCCATTGTGTTTTTCTCTATTAGATTTATATGGATTTCTGTAGATACGGATGTGTTTTAGCTCATGGATTGCAGCTTAGTCCAACGTAATCTAATTGAATGTGTTTTAGCTCATGGATTACCACTTTGGAATATAGGATTCTATTCCATTGTGTTTTTCTCTGTTAGATTTATATGGATTTCTGTTTATACTTTTATTGCTTTAAAAGCCACTTTATTGATCATCGTTCTTATATAATTCAGGAACTTTGGGCTTTGTTTAACTTCTGTTGTCCAGAGCTTTTGAGAGACAAGAAATGGTAAGATTTCATTTTTTTTCTTTTTCTTCTTATTGTTATGTTATTTACTTATTTATATCTATTTTCTTTTCAGTTTTAAGGAAAAATATGAGTCAACAATCCCTACGTGGAAATGACAAAATGCATCTGATAGAGATAAGCACATTGGTTCAGCTGTTGCACAGGTTATTAGTTATATTTCCCTAAATGACAAAATAGTTCATAAATATTAAGGCAATAACCTTTTGCTATGATTAAAACTATAAAAAAAATAACATTTATCCAAACTTACAAACAGGATTTAAGAAATTGCATTCAACCCTATTTTCTCAGGCGTTTGAAAAGTGAAGTTTTTCGTGATAATGATGCTACAAACACTGCCAAGCTTTCTAAAAAGAATGAGATTATTGATTGGTTAAGATTATCCAAATGTCAGGTGCTTACATTAACTGTTTTTATATTCTTTATTTTATAAAAACTCAACTTACATTCTTTTTATCTTTTTTAATTTACAGAGACAACTATACGAAGGCTTTTTGAACAGTGAGATTGTTCTTTCAGCCTTTGATGGTTCACCTTTACCTGCTCTCACGGTATTGTACTCTTTTATGAGAAGGGTATTTCTGTCTTTTGCACATAAGAGAGATCAACAATGCAATTTTTTTGTTCTATTAACATCAGTCTTAGTTTTTGGTGGACTTTTCCTTTAGTGAAAGTTAATGTTTATGATTTACATTTAATAGATATTGAAAAAATATGTGATCATCCAGTTGTATTAACAAAAAGAGTTGCTGAAGATCTTCTAGAAGGAATGGAAACAGGGCTAAATGAGGAAGATCAAGGAATTGCTGAAAAATTAGCAATGCATATAGCCAGATACTGCAGAGAAATATGACATTGGGGGAACTCATGACAAGCTTTCTTGCAAGATCTTCTTAATTATGTCTTTACTGGTTAGAATATTACATATTACATACATACCCTTAGACCCTTATTATTTTTTTTGTTATATTTTAATACCATCTGGATAAATAATGTTTAAAAGATATGAGAAAATCAACCTAAACTTTTTTTTTAATCATCCATTACAGGAAAAACTGATTCCAGAAGGTCATAAAGTTCTTATCTTTTCCCAGACACGCAAAATGGTTAATCTTATTCAGGTTTAGATTTTTTCCAAAGGTTTCCTGAAATTTATATTCAACCTGCACAAGAAATGGGTTTTACGTTTTTGCTATATTTTTCATTACAGCATCTACCTATTATAACTCTTATATATATCTACTTACTGATTCCAGAAGGTCATAAAGTTCTTTTTCATTGCAGCATCTACCTATTCTAACTCTTATATATATATATACCAGTTTGTTATCGCAGCAGATGCAGTGTCCGATGGTGAAGGTAAGGTGACAGATTGTGTGAAGTGAACCAGATTTGAAGGCAATAAAGAAGAAGAGCTAAAGATGCTGTGGAGTTTACATATGAAAATCATGCTCCTCAAGAACCCAACTGCTAGAAAATGTGTTTGCTACCACCTCTAGAAATCGAATTTCAGTCTGATTTAGCGTGTTCTTCTGTGTCTACTACTGGGGCATACATACACATACAAAGGAGACGGACCCCTATAACGGATCCTCTTCCGATCCTCTTGGCTCTTACAAAAAAAAAGGTTTTGGTGGTGTTGATGGTATAAATGAAACATCTAACACCCGGAACGCGGGGCCACTTTACTAGTTCACATTATCTTAGGAGTCGACGGGGACACAGTTTTCAATTTGACATCCTTCATGTGTTAGATTAAGTTATTAAATCACAAATCGTGTTGACGTTGTTGTTGTGCTCACGTAAGCAATGATCAGAAGGGTCGGTGGGGGTTTTGGTTAGGTGGAAGACACGCCAATCTCTATATAATCACATCCATATCCAACTGATTCCTTCATCGATTCCATTTCTTCACCTCTGATAATCAAGATGATGACGACGATGAACGGCATGAAGATTCAAGACACGTTTTACATATCCCATGGATCCCCTACTTTGTCAATCGATGAAACTATGCCGGCGAGGCATTTTCTTCAATCATTTCAGCAAAAAGTGTATCCTGCTAATGCTCCTCGACCTTCTTCTATCCTTGTAATCTCCGGTCACTGGGAGACTACGTATCCAACGGTCAACGTCGTCGATGGCCCTTCTGACACCATCTACGATTTCTATGGTTTTCCCAAAAAAATGTATCAGGTACGCAATTCTTTCTTCCTTTTTTCTTATCGATTTTATTTATTAATACCTAAATTTCGTTGAAATCACGAATCATCCCAAATCTGTTGTTAGTCTGTTTTTTTATGAAATGATGGATCTGATTTCAATGATTATTTGGTTAAATATAGTTAAGATTTACGAATTGCCTTTCTTGCCAGATGAAAAATTAAACCAGATGGAATCTAATTATAGCAATTAGAAATTAGTAATGATTAGTTCTACTGTTCTAGGTCTTCAGATAAACCGACTATGATTTAGATTCTTTGATTATGCGACTGAATATATGATTTTTAAGTCTTAATAATCTCTTAAAAATTTATAGATCTAAACACAAAACACCCATTGCGTGTTGGGGTGAATTTAGATTCTTTGATTATATATGATTCTTTGTCATAATTATCTCTTTAAAAATATAGATCTAAACACCCCTTGCTTGTTAGAGTGAATTTAGATTCTTTAATTATGCCACATATTTTTACATTTATTTATATATTATAGCATCCTACCTCCTTTTTACTTGTGTATGTAGTATATTATTCAGTGTAGCTGAATTCAAAAGATAGCAACATAGTTTCGTATATTTGTTTACTTTAATATCCTATTTCCTTTCTTTCTATTACAACATTGTACTTGTTATTTTTTCTTATTAAAGCATAATTGTGTAATTCAAAATTTGTTGGCCAATTACCGTATTATATTTTGAAAAATATGTCTAGTTGTAGCAATGAAAATTGCATTGCATATGGATACATTCGGTCTTTCTAAAGTACAATGTTTAAGTATAAAGAAATAAAAGTAGTATTATGCTATAATAAAAAAAATTAATGAAAGTACATTGCTATTTTTACTTGCATTTAACTCTGTTTCTTTAAAAACCAGCTCAAGTACCCCGCACCCGGAGCTCCAAAACTCGCCAACCGGGTCAAAGAACTCCTTATGTCATCCGGTTTCAAACGGGTCGACCAAGAAAAAAAACGTGGGCTAGACCACGGTGCGTGGGTCCCACTAATGCTAATGTACCCAGAAGCTGACATCCCTGTATGCCAACTCTCGGTCCAAACAAACCAAGATGCCACATACCATTACAACATGGGTAAAGCCTTAGCACCCCTAAAAGACGAAGGAGTGCTAATAGTGGGCTCAGGTGCAACCACTCACAACCTCAAAATGCTACGCAACACCCCCACAGTGCAACCCTGGGCCCACGAGTTTGACATGTGGCTCAAGGAAGCTTTGATTGAAGGAAGATATGAAGATGTTAACGAGTATAAAGAAAAGGCCCCACATGCCACGGTGGCACACCCGTGGCCCGACCATTTTTACCCGTTGCATGTGGCCATTGGGGCCGGGGGTGCGGATTCTAAAGCTGAACTTATTCATCATAGTTGGGGCTTGTCATCACTTTCGTATGCATCGTATAAATTCACAAGCCGGGTGTGACTTGTCTATTTGTTTGTGGATTACTAGGTTGTGTGAATAGGATGTTGTACTTTATTTGGCTTTATATATGTAAAGTATTTTTACACGCGACATTGTAGTCTTTACTTGTTTAAGCATAAAAATTCATATGTTTTCTTTGTAATTTTATATGTTATCGATAAGATATAACTTGATTGATTTGTTTTAGTATAATGATTGATATTGCTCACAAAGCTACCAGCAATGATAAATTACATAAGTTTTATCATGGAGCGCATACCTTTTATTATGATTTTCATAGATATATGCAAAGAAATATATTTTAACGAATTTTCTAAATTTATAAGAATAGATCATTACAAGGGAAAGTAGACAGACCAGTTAATAAGTCGTGATGTGTTCACAAAGAAATATTGCTGTTTTCTATAACTCTTGCGTTCTTACCATTGTCAACTCATTAATTATTCCTTCTAAAAAGAACTTTAATTTTGTAAAAATATACTTACAATGACACATATAGTTAAAGGTTATTGAGTATGACTCAAATTCCATCACATTCTATTTCTTCTTCTTTTTTCAGATTACTGTTGATAGTAAAGTTTAATATGTACCAAATATAGAGAATGCCAACCATCTCTATTATCATTAGATAACAAGTGGTTTCTCTGTAATAAGAGTATCCATCAAATTTAATGACCCATTCTTGAGTAATCATATCGTATTTGGTAGAAATTGAAGCTTTAGCCTTTAGTTGAAGAAAAATAAAAAAGATATATTCACGTTAATTTGATCTACATTTTACTTTTGTTGAAAAAATCTCAGCTTGAATTTTCAGTAAAAGTCAAATTTTCAAGAGAGAATATAGATTGGATGATAGAGAAAATATAGACAAAACTGTAAATTTGGTCCCTGTGGTATTCAAAAAACTTTGGATAGGGTCAAAAAGTTTTCAACTTGCATGGAAGGTCCAAAACCAAAGTTTTTCTGGGTTTTTGGTCCAAAAAAACTTAAAAAGACGGTTATACCCTTTTGATTTCTTTTTCCCTTTTTCTATAAGTATTTTTAATGTTATTTTGACTTTAAAAAAAAACAAAAAAAAAAAAAGAATTTTCCACCCCCACCCCCACCCACCGTACTCTCTCTCTCTCTCTCTCTCTCTCTCTCTCTCTTTGACTCTTTCTCTCTCATCTGCTTGATCTCCTCAAGACTGGAGTCTAATGAAGAATCCTCATAATACCCTTTTTCCTTATCATAATGCCCACCAAATTCCTTGTAAGAATCACTCAAGTTGTTATGATGTTGATCATATACACCAACAGTACTACGATACTCATAATGGCAGCTCCCATCGGAATTAGAACTGCAACTAGCTTGATCACCTCCAAAGAAGACAAGGGTAGAACTTTCTTTTACCTCCTGCTGGTAAGTCTCCGTGGAAACCAAACCGAGAAATCCATGACCTTGTGATTGGAGAACTGGATGTTGACGATTAGCAGTATTAATTCTAGGGCTAGATGGGATAGATAAGGTTTGGTCATGGTAGCTAGAAGTATTTATACTGTATAAATATGATGGAGACGATGATATTGATGATGATAATGGAGCATTAACATTGATATTACTATTTTGAAAAATCGATTGCGATGGGTAGCTGTAGTTTGTTGAAGAACTGAAACATTGAAGATGTTGAAGAGGTTTTCTAAGTTCGGGTAGGGTGATTAAGTTGTTCATCATCTTCTTCTTCAGCTTTGTGTTTCAGTAGTTCTTGATATCATTGTCTGTTCTTCCTGGTATCTGTGCTGTCATTATTGACCACCTGCATATTAAGTTATTCAAACTTCTAGATTTCTGCATATATATTCACATCTGAGAGATCTTGACAAAAATCTCCATTTTTGCGTGCTAAATAACACAAAATCGCCCTTTAATAAAATCTTGAAAGAAAAAAGTATACCTGCTACCAATCCTAGCAAAGAGGACACATATAACTTTATCTTCATCATCAGAAAATTCGCCATGTTTAATGTTTGGTCTCAGATAGTTCAACCAGAGAGAGAGAGAGAGAGGGGGGGGCGTGCGAGAGAGTGCAGGGAGGAGGCGAGAGGGAGGACGAAGAGAGAGCGAGAGGGGGGGGGGGGGGACGGGAAAGAAGAGAGTACGGTGGGAGTAGGGTGGCTAGGGGTGGAAAATTCTTTTTTTTCTTTTTTTTAAGTGAAAATATCATTAAAATACTTATAGAAAAAGGGAAAAAGAAATCAAAAGGGTATAACCGTCTTTTTAAGTTTTTTTGGACCAAAAACCCAGAAAAACCTTGATTTTGGACATTCCATGCAAGTTGAAAACTTTTTGGACCTTATCCAAAGTTTTTTGAATACCACATGGACCAAATTTGCAGTTTTGTCGAAAATATATCTGAACTAATTATCCTCTAGGATTTCTTCAAATTTCTTGATAGATCTGAACCGATCTAGGACTTTTAATTGGACTTTGGAACATTAGATCTTGGATTGAGCCTTTAAACTTCATATCTATTGGATCTTGCAATATCTTAACAGGAAATCACTTGAGAAACGATCAAAAACTTACAACTTCTAATCATCGAGAGAATATTCATGAAAATATGTAGACAAAACTTCATAAATGGTCCTTATGGTATCCCCAAATATGAAGTTTAGTCCCTAAGTTTAAAAAAATCTCACAACCTATGGTTTCAAAACTTTTGATGTTTGGTCCTTATTGCTCACACCTTCATCTTTTATCTGTTAACTGAAGGGCAATTTCGTTATTTTTCTACCACAGGGACCGTTTATGAAATAAACGAAGAAAAAAAATATAATTATTTAAGAGTAAATTACAGTTTTGGTCCCTATGGTTTGGTCCGATTCGCACTTTCAGTCTAACCTTTGAAATTTTGACAAGATGCATCATTGTGGTTTAAAGAAATTGCATTGTACATCCTTAGTCCATTTAAAAAGACCATTTTACCCTTACTTTTATATTTTTGTTTTTCTATATATATATATATATATATATATATATATATATATATATATATATATATAATATATATATATATTATATATATATATATATGGGATTGAGGAAGGTTGTCGAGTGTGATGTAAGACTACGACTAGTCCGGTAACATTCAACTAGAACGAAGTGGACTATCTTATGTTCGTATGTTGGTCGGTTATGTCATTCCAGGAGGGCTGTTGGGGTTGTGTTGGCAAACAGACTAGGATAGCTTTTGTCGGTAGTCAGAGAAAATCCATTACCGACCCGGTACTTACCAGATCGGCGATACAAACATCACAACCTGTCACAAACAAATCTAAATTCAAATACATCATACACAAGTATCAGAACCACATCCTAGGAAACATGCAAAAGAGATGGTACGGAAAAATAAAATAATAAGGAAATGAAAAGAGACGTGTCTGCCCATAAATCGGATAATAGATGAGGGATCGGGCAGGACTATAAACCTTTCTAACAACGATCGGTCTATAAATACCCTAGAGTAACGGTGTCTAGGGGGAGATCAAGGTAAGGCAAAAAACACTGTCTATAGCATTAAGGAAACATTAAAAATTGCAATCTAACTTAGGCATCAGAGAGTTATTCTGGGGTCCAACCCTCGGCATGGCTGTCCGACCTAACACTTGTTTATCTTATGTTGAGCGGACTCCCGGATGCTTATTAGACTAAGACCTTTAGGTGATAAAGCTAAACATACGCCTGGAGTTTGCCGTAATAACAGTCGTATGAGAGGCTATCAACTACATCAATTGGTTAGAAATCTGGTACTTCAGTTAATTGGTAGGTAGTACGAGGCAAGGGAGATCTCGGTTAGATCGAAATGTGAATGTTGATTAGCAGGATGAGACTTAGATGTTGGTATGACACCAATAACTGAGACTCGTGTTGGGAGTCACCCTTATCTTCAAGTAAAGGGTTCAACAGCAATGAAAGGTCAGGGATTCTGTCTTTCCAGACTTCCAGTTGTCAACAACATAATCCAGGAACAGAAGGGCTTCGTTTTGGTTCGGGTTGTGAATTAGAGTCTTTATGGATATGCGATGAGATGGTTCTGTCTGTTGGTAAGTCATACACTATTTAGGGTTTCCATCTTTCAGGCAGGGTAGTTGGAATCCTCCTTAGTTGGTCAAAGGAGGAGTGTCGCCACGTGACCATTTGAGTGGTCACAACGTGACAAGGGTAAATTAATATGAGAAATGTGTTTCGGGACCAATCTCACGACGTGAGAACTGGTGCAGCCCAAGCCTATTATCTTTTAGGATTTCCTTCATATTTAAGCCCATATAAGTCATTTTTAGGGTTTATTACCAGCCTCCAACACCTTTTTTCCTCAGAAAAATCCTAGTCCTAATTTTCTTGGTGATTCTTGGCCTTTTGGAGCATTTGTTGGCTTGAAGAAGAAGAGAAGAAGGAGAAGAAGGTGCTCTATTGGTGGAACTTGCAAGGAAACAACATCATTATCATCATTTCATATTGTTTTTGGACCTTTGTAAGTGTCAAAGGCTCAAACTTTATTGCTTAAAGTGGTTAGATCTAAGTTGTTGTACCATGTTTTTCATGTTTAAGCAAGTTTGAATGGAAGGAACACATAAAGTTAGCAACTTTATGCTTTCTATGGGTCCCTTGAGTATGATATTGTTTAGATCTAGAAGTTGGTTGATTGTTGGACCCATGCATAAGGATTTTGGTTTAATCTCTTCATTTTTTACCTAGAAATAGATGGAGGACATGCATGAGGTGTAACATCCATAAAAATCATGTCAATTTAAAACTTTTTAAAACATTTAAAAACCAATAATTATTACAAAATTGTTTCAAAATAGTTTCATGTCAGAGTATCCCAGAATCAAATCATAAAAATATAAGGAGGTGCACGATCATGCCTTCACCTTCCCGCGATCATCAGAAGTACCTGAAATAAAATCAACAACTGTAAGCCCGAGTGAGTTCCCCCAAAATACCAACGCCATACAAACCATAACAATATCATACAAACAACATGCATAATGAACCATCAGCCTGACTGGACCGCCTCGCAGGGCCATCAGTCTATCTGGACCGCTCTCCGAGCCATCGGCACGTCTGGACCGCCTCTCAGGGCCTTCAGCCTATCCGGACCACTCGCCGGGCCTTCGGCCTGACTAGTGCGCCCTTACCGGGTCTGCAGTCTATTCGGGCCGCCCTGGGTATGTTGGCACAAAGCACAAAGCACAAAGCAGGACCGCCTTAACCCAACCCCCAATCAAACAATCATGTGCACATAAATATCATACGCTAGCTAACATGTACAGATAGCCATACAGATCTAACAAATCACTATTCATAACATCATCCTATATACCAGGATACCGATCTAACAGATCACTAACATAACAACCATCCTATAACCAGGATACAGATCTAACAGATCACTAACATAGCAACCATCTGATAACCAGGATACAGATCTAACAGATCACTAACATAGCAAACATCCTATAACCAAGATACAAATCATAAAGGGCCGGCCTTGGTGCCTTAGACCCTGTTGATATAGTGAGAAGAACTCACCTCACAATGTTGATCGGAACTGAAGTATCAAACTCCCGAAACACGGCTCCAAACACCAACACCTACATCCACAAATGATCCGCTTCCATAAATTCCCAAATTACTAAAATACCCCCCAGAAGTCAAACTCGTCAACCCTTGGTCAAACTCAAAGTCAATGGTCAAGGTCAACAGTCCATGTTGACCCAACTCGTCGAGTGCATCTAGCAACTCGTTGAGTTCCTTCAGAACTCAGAAACCAAAAACTCGAGTCAACTCACCGAGTTTCCAACCAGCTCGTCGAGTTCATGTAGTGTCCAAAAGATGGGAAAACCCTAACCAACTCGTTGAGTTATAACCCTAAGCCGAGTTCATGCAGAATTCAGAAAGCAGGAAACCCTCATTCAACTCGTCGAGTTGACTATGTAACTCGTCGAGTTCCTTCAGTCCATTTCTCATTCAGATGCTTTTAAGTGAAACCAAAGCTCCAAACTGTAGATCTAGGCTCCTAGGGTGTAGTTATCACGTAAAGTTGTTAACTTTAAGTGCATGCAAGGCTTCGAGAAGCTAAAACACTTATAACTAGCCTTAGAAGAAGGTTTTGGACATGGAAGAGGGCCAAAGCTTCATACAGCTTGAGACTTTATGTCCATAAGGGCCTAGAGGAGTCCAGATCTGAAACCATGCCCTTGTCACAAGATCAAATCCGGAGGTGACTCCTTTTTGCACCAAAATGTCCATATACTAACATAAGAAGAGATCTAAGAAATGAAAGGCCAAGGTAAGGACTTTTTACCTTCAACTAGATGCCAACACGATGTAGATACTGGATCTATAAGCTTCTTCTCGTTCCAAGCCTCTAAATCTTCAAGCCTCTTCAAGGAATGCACCAAATACACACTTTAGTCTCACACACACTCAAAATAGGGTTAGATCTATTAGGGTTTGCTTCTGGCCGTCAAAAGGTGGTAAGGAGGCTAGAGGAAAGGACTTAAGGTCCTTTAAAAAGGGTGCAAACCCTAAAAATTACGGTTTCCATGCATAGCCTCTACTCGTCGAGTTGGGGTCCTCCAACTCGTCGAGTAGGTCTAAAATATAATATATAAAGCTTTAAAATTTATACCTAGGAGTCGAGATGTTACATGAGGCATACATGTCCATAA